ATCAAGTTCCACTGGGCGCTGCATCAAGAGAACCTGCCTGTGGTCGATTTGAAAGCGTTCTGCGTGTAAATGAGGAAGTTGACAACCGCTACTAGTGGTGTTACGACCTTCTCCATCGCATCGAAGCTGGTGAAGGAAAAGAAACCCAGATCCAAGGAAAAGGCGTTCGTGAACGCTCATGCAGCCCAAGAACAGAAGGATCCAGGAGCAGATGGCAATCCATGTGGTGATCGGCGAGGACAGAACAAGAGCGCTAAAGGCAAAGGAGAAGAAACCAAAACCTCTCCAGCGTGTGGCGCGCACGACCACACGGCTTCTAGCTGCGTAACTTTCAAGAAGCTTTCGATCGACGGTCGGTGGAATCTCGTCAAGGAAAACAAACTCTGCCGCCGATGTCTCGTATCCCACACTCGTTGGCCATGTGAAGACGAGGTTTGCGGTATCAATAATTGTGAGAAACGCCATCATCGTCTTCTTCACTCGGAACCCACTAAGAAACAGCTAGTCATCGATGCCAGTGTACCTAACCATCCACCGTCTGCCCGTTTCTTCGACGCTGTTCAAGGTACTGCCGGTGGCACTGTACGGGAAAAACGAGTCGGTGAACACGTACGCGTTCTTGGACGACGGTTCGTCTATAACAATCGTTGAGCAATCCATGAGTTCCATCATCTGTGGAGAGCCTTGGAGTTGCTGTGGCTCCCAACTTAGAAGGAAGTGAAGACGAACGAGCACGCAGGATTCTCGAGGAGACAACAGTTCGTACGGCAAGTGGGAAGTTCGAGACCGGGCTGCTTTGGAAAAAAAAAGATTCCATCGAGTTCCCGGACAGCCGACCAATGGCCGAGCGTCGTTTAAGGTGTCTTGAGTAGCGCTTGCAAAAAGATTCGAAGCTCTATGGCAGCGTACGACAGCAGGTAGCAGACTACGAAGTGAAAGGGTACGTCCACGTAGTAACGAAGGAAGTAATGGCAGAGTTTGATCCACGGCGTACGTGGTACCTTCCGTTTGGCGTGGTACTGAATCCGGGAACGCGAGATAGAGTTTTCGGGAGACATCCAGGAAATGTTCCTACAAGTCGGAATCAGGAAGAAGGATCGAAGTGCGCTGTTGTTCGTCTTCCGTAACTCACCGAGTGAACCGATGGTGACAATGCCTTCCGACGTCGCCATTTTTGGTGCAACTTGTTCTCCTGCGCAGTCACAGTACGTGAAGAACTTCAACGCAACGGAAAATGAACGAGACTACCCAAGAGCAGCGGCAGCGATCAAGGATGGACATCCCATCAAACAATTTGAGTTGATCAACAGCTGAATAAGCAATTTTTTAGCTGAAGAAGCTCGTTTTTACCTAAATAAGCTCTTATTCAACATTCAATGTTTGTTGGGCTTATGTCGATGACTATCTAGATAGCGTCGACTCGGAAGCGGAGGCCGTCGAACTAGCGCTGGAAGTGGCAAAAGTTCACAGGAAAGCAGGATTACATGTACGCAACTGGGTGTCAAATCGATCTTCGGTCCTGGAAGCCATCGGTGAAGTGAGTCCAGCTACGGTGAAAACTCTTTCGGTGAACAGCCAGAGCGATTTCGAGCAGGTGCTAGGAATATCGTGGCTGTCGAGCGAAGATTTGTTCTGCTTCACGAACACCCTACAAGAGGACATGGAGAATACGACCGCACCAACTAAAAGGGCGATACTGAGCTTCGTGATGAAGATCTACGATCCTTTGGGACTTGTTGGCTCACTAGTAGTCCAAGGTAAAATTCTCCTGCAAGACGTCTGGAGAGCGAAGGTAAATTGGGACAAACAGATATCTAAGGTCCTATTTGCGCGATGGAAAATGTGGCTGCAGCGTCTGATGGAGCTCAACAATGTCCAAATTCCTCGAAGTTACTTCCTGGGGTACGATCTAGCCTGCTACGACGACCTGGAGCTCAACATATTCGTGGACGGGAGTGAGCAAGCGTATTCATCTGCAGCCTACTTCCGCGTACGAGATCGTGGACAGATACGCTGTGCGCTTATTGCGTCCAAAACCAAGGTAGCTCCACTACAGTTGACATCCGTGCCTCAATTGGAGTTGCAGGCGACCGTGATCGGAGCCCGTCTTCGCAAAACCATTTTGGATGCTCAGCGAATCAACCACCGTAGTTCCGTGGATCAAGTCGGATACCCGGCGATATCGACAGTACGTGGCATTCAGAGTCAACGAGATCCTGAGCCTGTCGAAGATCGAGGAGTGGCGTTGGTTGGGAACCAAAATCAACGTTGCTGATGAAGCCACAAAGTGGGGCAAAGGCCATAACTGCAAGCCTGATAGCCGGTGGATGCGTGGACCAGCATTTCTCTACAGCGATGAGAAGGATTGGCCTCAGGGCAAGCTCGAGATAGCGGTGGAGGCATCACAAGAAGAGCTGGCACCGAATTCGAGCGCCTACTGCGAAGCGTGGCGTATGCTCACCGGTTCAGTGAGAAGCTTCTCAGACGAATCAGAGACGAAGCGAGAGAGGGAACTACGGATATCGCCAGCGAAGATTTGCGGAATGCGGAGAAGAGCCTTTGGCGGCTCGCGTAGTCGGATGGCTATACAGATAAGGTGGCTACGATGAACCCGAACGCGCAATCGGCACCCAAACACAGGCGAGCCCTTAGCCGAAGCAGTCCACTAGCGAATTTTCCACCAATGCTGGACGAACACGGTCGAATCGTTCGTCACATTATTGATCGAAGCGGAGCACATGGTTAATTCGCGGCCGTTGACGTTTCTACCACTAGACAGCGAGGAGCTCAACTCAAGTGGGGTCAGGCCAGGCAAGGACTGATCCGTGCGGCTGGCGGACGTCGAGACATCCAACGGAATTTTTAGGAGGAGAGCGGTCTGCAACCTAGCAGTTTTGGAAGTTAGCGGACATGATGAAGCGGAAATATGCGGTCGTGGTGATGCGGATAGCAGCGGGTGCAGTCACGCAGCTAGTTGCGTAAATGGTGCCGTCAAATCAGTGTTCGTACGACACGAGGGGGAGGATGTTGCGACGAATGCGTCTATCGACGCGCCCGCCGAAAGCTTGGACCGTTTGGACACGACAGTGTGAGTAGGACGTATACATGCGAATACGAATTGTCAAAGTCGGTGATAAGCATTGATAAGAATATTATTGTTTTTAAAGCAACGTGGATTGAGGAAAATTGAACTTAAATCCTAAATTTGAAATTAAATTACCAATTACGAGACGAAATATAAAAATGTAAATGGCCCCTCGCAGTCATCATGAAAACCACCTTGATGATGAAGATTTCAACATTTTGCACTGTGAAGTAGGGTAAATGACGGCTTCGGCACCTATTGACTGTTTTTGGCAATCAAAATTTAAAAACTTCAGTTTCAATTTGATTACAGTTCTACGACAGAGCAAATCTGTTACGTCAAATTTTTCTTAAAAAGAAATATATTCATTACAAAATCCGGCTGATTTCGAAGTGCCGATAATAGAACAGCTGATCAACACGCAATTCAAATGGAAAGGTTGCCGAAGAAAAAGAGGCTGCCCACAACAGCCATATTCGCCTGAGTAGTTTGGAACGCTATAAAAACGATTACAAACGGTTTTGAACAATTCTGCTGATTGAAATGGATAGAGAAGCAAGCAGCAGATAAATGTAAACAAACAAGCACGTCATATGTGTGCGTGTTGCTGAGAAAATGCTAATATTGACGAGAATACGTTCATTCCTCTATGGGATTGAAATTTTAAAATGGTTCTATAACTTATATAAAGTTTTCAATTTATTTTTCGATTATTGAACAAACAAATTGATGAAAATGATTCAAATAGGTAAATTGCGACATTATATCCCCAGCAGACACCATCAAATTAATTTAAATCACTTAAATCGAAAAAATAGACGCGTTTTAAAATTTCTCTTCCATACCTTGCCGTGCCAAATTTTGAAATCTGCATCAGCTTTCCGTTTTTCAAGATGGCCACGAGAGGCCAAGTTTTAATGGCCTATGCCTACAAGCTTGTTAAGCTCAAACAAATGGAATGTTGAAAGCTTCCATTTGAGCTTAAACTTGCATTCAAGAAGGGCTGCACAAGTGCTTGCATTCAACATCTAAATGCTTCATTGATAAATGTGGTTGATAAACTATTTATCGGTACCAACAAATTATAGCAATTCAGTCGATTAACTTCCGTAGGTAACCAAACGATGTTGATTCAGCTCCATCACCATGAACATCAAATTCAAATTATTCCCACTGAAAGTGTGAAACACAGAAAACAACGCCGTTCAATCTCACTGCTGCTCCATGGCAACATATTCTCTCCTGCTCTCAGCCTACTTGGCCCGGTTATAGCAAACACGTGCGCCGCTACGCGCTTCAGCCAGACTGACAAGGGGGCAGAGCAGAAAAGCATCAAAACATACTGATTTAAACTTGTTCTCTATCACCAACGTCTTAGGTCACCACCACCGTCGTCATCGTCACTGTCCGAGCCAGAGAGAGAGACAGAGAGGGAATGAGCAAATTTCATTCAATGTGGTGGGTAGTTGTAGTGAAGTCTGGATGACTTAAGTCACTACACCTTAGAGAAGATTGAATTTGAATTAGAGTTGCTCAATTTTACGTCGCATTTGAAATTGAGTGAGCACTTCTGAATGAAATTTGATCACTACTTCACACACATTTGACATAATTTTAACCGAGCATGCTTAAACCTGCGGGAGAACGTGCTGTCAAATCAGCCTACTGATCATACTTGTATGAAATTGGTTCCAAACGTAAACAAAGTATGTAGGTTACGGTTGGAACCAGTTGTTATAAGAGTCGCCTACGACTGTTCGTAATTGTTAAACCAAGCCTACTATTGCCTGCGAAGACATTAGAGCATCCCTACCGGAATCGAAGAACCTTGAAAGCACGCACACACACTGCCGAAATTTTGACACCGCTGCCGACTTGGATCCAACCACATCCCCATCACTGCTCAAAGCCGGTATTCAGTTCTCGGCAGTACCTTGAAGGCGGAAGAAGTTCGTTGGATTCAACGAATCACATCTCAAGATTCACTACACAGTGTGTCACCACAAGTTCCTATCAACCAATCCTCCAACCGCAGATGGCCGGCTTGATCCAACGACACGGTTCTGTCCTAGTGCGTCGATTTCTCACCAATGGAAAACGGATTGTGAGTTGCTTTTTTCTTAATCGATCGAGAATTACTTTGGAAAACTCTTACGAAAGTCGGGTTCTTATGTAATTTTACTCGGAGTTCGGTTGACCTGAGCCGTCAGCAGACTGGTATTTGTTGGACGAAATTATCAGTTATGCATACGTCGCGCAAAATACCTACGTAGCCAGGCGCTGGAGGTGTGGTAGTGGTGACGAAAATAAGTTCAATTTTTTTTTTAAGCCGACACAGCGAAGGACGAAGGAAAAAGCAAAGCGAAAAGTCAAAACAAGATCGTGTGTTGTTTCCAAGACTATCTGTTTGCGTACAATTGGATCTAATGTGTTGGTTTGCGATGTGATAAGCGATCGTTGCGAACGCAAAGTGGCAAAGCAACCCGGTGTTGTTTTTGTTGTTGTCATGGGTGAAGGCAGTGTACTGTGGACCCCCGGTAATCTGAACACTTTTTAGTTTGAACCCCGCTGCATGCCGTGCTTACTAAAAATTCCTCCAACGTCTTCTAGATATTGGAGAACAACAAATGATAAGGGACTCAAATTGTGTAAACAACACTAAGATAGTTCATTCCTCGCAAATTAAAGCATCATGGAATAGGAAAAACTTTCCCCATGACAATTATGGCGTTGTTTTGCATGAGAAAATTGATTCCAGAATTTCGATCGCATTACCTGATAGATATGCTCTTTTCTGTTGCTGGTCGTGATATGTTCGATTGGTTCCCGAAATTCTCTCCGCTAGACTGTAAATATCAATATAGTGACTGTATAATTGGGTTTAGACAGGGCAAGTCAACTGATCAAGTCAGTTGAATTCAACTGACTTGAACGCGAATTGAACGTGTAAACCATGCCATTCAACTGACTTGATCAACTCACTTGAATTGAAAAAAGTTGAATCAGGCTCAACTTTTCAAGCCAATTGAATTGAACTGAGTTGATCATTTGACTTGCCTAGTCTAAACCCAGCTTAATAGAATAGAGTAAAGCGAAACGGAACGCAAAATCAAAACAAAACAGCAAATAAGGCTACCAGAAACCCGCTTACAAGAAGTTCAAATTAAAAATAAACCCCAAAGTGTCGTTCACATTAACGGGGCTCCACGGTACTTCGATACGCAAATCCAGCTAGTTTATCTGCCTTGCTACCGATATTCTAAGAAAGTTCAAACCCATTTCAGACTCACAGGGCACTGCCAGTGGTGACACAGTTTCACACCAGTGCCCAGCTGGACAAGACCGTTTCGTTCCACCTGGCTGACATCGGCGAGGGAATCCGGGAGGTGACGGTCAAGGAGTGGTTCGTGAAGGAAGGCGACGTGGTTGAGCAGTTTGACAACCTGTGCGAGGTGCAGAGTGACAAGGCTTCCGTCACGATCACCAGCCGGTACGATGGCAAGATTGTCAAACTACACAAGATGGTAGATGAGATTGCACTGGTCGGGAAGCCACTGTTGGATTTTGATGTCGTTGATGAAGAGGGTGAGGATATCAGCAGCAGTAGCAGCAGTAGCAGTAGTGGAGAGAGCAGTTCGGATGAGGAAGCTGTGCAAGCACAGGCTGTCGCTTCTGGTGCAGCGGCAGCGGCGACTGCGGCTGCTGTGATCACTAGCGGTAAGGTGCTGGCAACGCCTGCTGTTCGAAGAATCGCTATGGAGAACAAGGTCGATCTACGAGAGGTGAATGCCTCTGGTAGAAATGGCCGCGTCCTGAAGGGAGATGTTCTGGAGTACTTGAACATTATCCCACAAGGAACAGTAAAGCCTCATCCAACACTTTCGCAAAGAAAGACGACCGCTGCCGCTCCTTGCTCCAAGTCACTGGAAACCGTTGTGCCATTGAAGGGAGTTGCCAAAGCCATGTATAAATCCATGTCAGAATCACTGGTAAACTCTTCTTCACATCAATCAATGTTTTGCAAACTGAACTCAATTTCCTCTTCCATTTTAGAAAATCCCACATTTCGCCTACAGCGACGAAATCGACATTTCTAAACTGGTGCAAGTGCGCGAAGCCCTTAAGGCGGAAGCCGTGGCACGTGGAGCGAAGCTAACCTACATGCCATTCTTCGTCAAGGCCGCTTCAAACGCCCTCAAAGAGTTCCCGATCGTCAACAGTTCGTTTGACGAGCCGAACGAAAGCGTCATCTACAAGTCGTACCACAACATTAGCATTGCAATGCACACACCGCAGGGACTAGTGGTGCCCAACGTGAAAAACGTGGACAGCAAATCGATCCTGGAAATTGCAGCCGATTTGAACGCCCTGCAGGAGCGCGGAGCCAAGGGAGCCCTCGCACCGGATGATTTCGCCAACGGAACGTTCTCCTTGTCCAACATTGGAATTGTAAGTTCTTCCGTCTCACTCCATTCCTAATCGACGAATAACGACGTTCTCTTCTGCAGATCGGTGGCACCTACACTCACCCCTGTATCATGGCTCCGCAGGTGGCCATCGGTGCCATCGGGAAAACCAAGCTCCTACCACGGTTCGATGACTCCGGAAACGTGATCCCGGCGCACATCATCAACGTCAGCTGGTCGGCCGACCATCGGATCATCGATGGCGTTACCATGGCGTCCTTCTCCAATGCATGGAAACGACAGCTGGAGAATCCCAACCTGTTCCTGCTGACGGCACGGTAGGCGCTGAATACCGGTCAATTTCTACCCAGTGAAAACCATGGAAACGATTGCATTTATTCGGAAATGAAGATTTCTCTCGACTTTTTTTTTTACGCTAGTAAGGATAAAAACAACCAGATTGCATTTATTTTGTCACTCAGATATGCGCTCGTGCAATGATCGCATCTCTTTTACAATAGTTTAGTTGCCATACGCGAGACGTGAAACGTTTTCAAGACCAGGTCTGTGTATATATTTAGAAATATATGGATTGAAAGACATGACCTCTGCGGTAAGTTTAATTTATTCGAAATCATAAAAACTAACCTACTCAGTTGGATAGTAAACGTCACCTAGTAGAATGTTGTACATTTTCGAGTCAGTGTGCCGTAAAAAACAATCGCAACAAAACACAAACAAAAAAGTTACTTTGGCATACAGCCGATTCACAATTTTCACCTCGCATGCTTGAGCCCATCTCTTAGTGTCTAGGTTATTCGCTTTTTGTGATGAATTTGAATCCGTTGGTTTTGCTAACAGTGGAATGAATATCGCAGTGGGGTTGGAGATTTCGCTTTTGCTTCACTAAATAAATTTGGTTCACGTGATTGCCGTCAGGACTTGGAGTCCTATTCGCGGAGGAAATTTGACTGTTGACTGTGATGTCCGGCGAATTTTAGCACCTCTAGTTTTGATAAGTCAAGGACAGGAACTGCTCGCGACGTCTAAGGTACTCGCAGTACCGCGTCTCGCCGAATCTGGAAAGATTTAACGTTCGGTTAGTGGGGTGTACAAATGTTATTGTAAGTGGAATTATACGGTGAAAACACGCTCTTTAAGCTACAAATTTACTTCAGTGTGCCCATCGCTAGCATCGTGTTCAATGGCACACAGCTTGAATCGAATTGAACTCTCGCGAGCTGTTTCATACGCAGAAAAATTGTCCCTGTTTACAATAAAAAAATATTCATTGGATGATCAAACTCGAATATTGTTGCGGTGGTCACTCTACACACATAATTTGTGACAACTTTTTTTCTCAGTGTGCCGGCAGCACCGCGAGTGTCATCAGACTGATTTTTATGCTTGTATAATGGTATGTTTGGCAACCCGGTTAATTTGACAGTTCACATGTTTTGTTTCGCATAAACAAAACAACATGAAGTGGAATCCTATCTCAGATCCTAACTATTGTGACTCTCGGTTCGTTGCTCCCAAATTCTATAGGAAAAGGCCTACACTGAACCTAATAAGCAACGGCCTCAGCCACCAAATCAAAGCTTGGAGCAATAACGTTCTCCGGGGGAGGCACTTCCAATTTCCGACAGGACAATAACTTCTACTGGATTGGAGTATGATGAGGACTCGGATGAACCACAGGTGACAGTGGTAAGTAGATGAAGCGAGCGTGCATCATCAGAGGAAACTGGCTCAGATGGTCTTCAGATTCCGATGAACGCTTCCGGGAGGAGTTTCTCCCGAAAGCCATCGACTCAATCAAAGATGCGTCGCCAGCGTTCTAGTGGGAGTTTCAACCGGAATCAGACTTCCCTGGTGGAGGTGGGGTTTAATATTTCCACACGGAAAGATAGTCCAACGATCGGACAAATGTAGAACAGTATGATGTCTCTGGTGAAAAGCAGTGCCGGCCAGAGAACACCTGTAAAAGCTGGGGTGCTGTCGATGATAGAAAAGCAAACACCGGTGATCGTAGAAGGTGAATACATCTACATATGTCAGTTACGAATGTTGGTTGGCTGATCCTCGGGCTGATCAACGAAGTGGTGAAGCGTTACGGAATCAAACATGCTAAATGACCACTGATAAAATTACTACATCTGGCTACATCTGGTGGCCTTTCTATGGCCTTTCGTACCTCATAGAGTTCGAAACGCTGCGTTCGGATCAGTTCTACCGAACTGCTCCAATCGCTGGGCAGCATGGTCTCTTTACACTTCGCTGGGACTTCTTCTCTGCCAAGCCTAAATATTCTATTTCAAGCCACCAGGGTCGTGTCTAAGAGCTAAACCTATCCTTCAACCAACTCACCGATGTCAACTTTCAGGAGCTCACCTTCAAGCCCGACAACTGACCAGTCAACATTTTACAATTCCACTTAACCACCTTCGGCTGTGACTTCAGATCCGTCACGAATCCCCCCGCCACAAATCGATCTACCAACGTTCTCTTCACTTCCTCCTTCAGGGTTTCGCTCTCCTCACTAACCAACTCACTAATCACATTCCGAATCGGCATTATGACCAGTAGCAGTCATGGTCATCTTTTCAATCAGAAGAAATTCACGGTTGAAGTTATGAAATAAAAAATCGGATTGTGACAACAACAATGATTATCATTTTGACACATGCACAGAGCAGACACAGATATAGTACAGTGTTTCCAGTAACTTAATATATCATAAAAAATTTCTAACCATGGGTGCCAATGAAAGTGCTCAGGTGTGCCCGTCTGTATTTTTGGCACACTGTGCGGAGTGACCAACCCCGTCACTCAGCTGGTGGTCCGATGTAGTAACCGGACCGAGGTTTCCAGCCTCAGTCACGGTTCCACGAATCTGCTGTTCCCTTTATTGGTCCGCTAGTGCCACTATCCCTATCACGCTTCACGCTCACTCAATTCTACTCATTTCTATTCCTCACTAACTCTATCTACTACTTTCTTCCCCTCTCCTACTCTCCTTAATTGAGGATCGGTGGCAATCCTCTCAGGACATTTTATCAACTCTCTCGAGGAAATCTCGTTTACCTTCTCGGAGGAATTTATTCTACCTTCTCGGAGGAATTTCTTCTACCTTCTCGGAGGAATTTCTCCTACCTTTTCGGAGGAATTTATTCTACCTTCTCGAAGGAATTTATTCTACCTTTTCGGAGAAATTTCTTCTACTCTCTCGGAGGAATTTCTTCTACCTTTTTGGAGGAATGCCTTCTACCTTCTCGGAGGAATTTATTCTACCTTCTCGGAGGAATGTCTTCTACCTTCTTGGAGGAACTTCTTCTAACTGCTCGGAGGAATTTCTTCCACCTTCTCTGAGGAATGTCTTCTACCTTCTCGGAGGAATTTCTTCTACCTTCTCTGAGGAATTTCTTCTACCTTCTTGGAGGAACTTCTTCTAACTGCTCGGAGGAATTTCTTCCACCTTCTCTGAGGAATTTCTTCTACCTTCTCTGAGGAATTTCATCTACCTTCTTGGAGGAATGTCTTCTACCTTCTCGGAGAAATTTCTTCTACCTTCTCGGAGGAATTTATTCTACCCTCTCGGAGGAATTTCTTAAACCTTCTCGGAGGAATTTCTTCTACCTTTTCTGAGGAATTTCTTCTACCTTCTCGGAGGAATTCCTTCTACCTTCTCTGAGGAATTTCTTCTACCTTCTCTGAGGGATTTCTTCCACCTTCTCTGAGGAATTTCTTTTACCTTCTCTGAGGAATTTCTTCTACCTTCTCTGAGGAATTTCTTCTACCTTCTTGGAGGAATTCCTTCCGCTTACTCTGAGGAATTTCTTCCGCTTTCTCTGAGGAATTTCTTCTACCTTCTCGGAGGAATTTCTTTTACCTTCTCTGAGGAATTTCTTTACCTTCTTGGAGGAATGTCTTCTACCTTCTCGGAGGAATGTCTTCTAGCTTCTCGGAGGAATTTCTTCTACCCTGTCGGAGGAATTTCTTCTACCTTTTCTGGGGAATGTCTTCTACCTTCTCTGAGGAATTTCTTCTACCTTCTCTGAGCAATTTCTTATACCTTCTCGGAGGAATTTCTTCTACCTTTTCTGAGGAATTTCTTCTACCTTCTCTGAGGGATTTCTTCCACCTTCTCTGAGGAATTTCTTCTACCCTCTCGGAGGAATTCCTTCTACCTTCTCGAAGGAATTCCTTCCACCTTCTCGGAGGAATTTCTTCCGCTTTCTCTGAGGAATGTCTTCTACCTTCTCGGAGGAATGTCTTCTAGCTTCTCGGAGGAATTTCTTCTACCTTCTCGGAGGAATTCCTTCACCTTCTCGGAGTAATTTCTTCTACCTTCTCGGAGGAATTTCTTCTACCTTCTCGGAGGAATGTCTTTTACCTTCTCGGTGGAATTTCTTCTACCTTCTCGGAGGAATGTCTTCTAGCTTCTCGGAGGAATTTCTTCTACCTTCTCGGAGGAATGTCTTTTACCTTCTCGGAGGAATTTCTTCTACCTTCTCTGAGGAATGTCTTCTACCTTCTTGGAGGAACTTCTTCTAACTGCTCGGAGGAATTTCTTCCACCTTCTCTGAGGAATTTCTTTTACCTTCTCTGAGGAATTTCTTCTACCTTCTTGGAGGAATGTCTTCTACCTTCTCGGAGGAATTTCTTCTACCTTCTCTGAGGAATTTCTTCTACCTTCTTGGAGGAACTTCTTCTAACTGCTCGGAGGAATTTCTTCCACCTTCTCCGAGGAATTTCTTCTACCTTCTCTGAGGAATTTCTTCTACCTTCTCGGAGGAATTTCTTTACCTTCTTGGAGGAATTTCTTCTACCTTCTCGGAGGAATTTATTCTACCCTCTCGGAGGAATTTCTTAAACCTTCTCGGAGGAATTTCTTCTACCTTTTCTGAGGAATTTCTTCTACCTTCTCGGAGGAATTCCTTCTACCTTCTCGGAGTAATTTCTACTACCTTTTCGAAATAATTTCTTCTACCTTCTCGGAGGAATTACTTCTACCTTCTTGGAGGAATTTCTTCCACATTCTCTGAGGAATTTCTTCTACCTTTTCGGAGGAATTTCTTCTACCTTCTCGGAGGAATTTCTTCTACCTTTATGGAGGAATTTCTTCTACCTTGTCGGAGGAATTTCTACTACCTTCTCGGAGTAATTTCTTCTACCTTCTCGGAGGAATTACTTCTACCTTCTTGGAGGAATGTCTTCCACCTTCTCTGAGGAATTTCTTCCGCCGTCTCTGAGGAATTTCTTCTACCTTCTCGGAGGAATTTCTTTTCCCTTCTCCGAGGAATGTCTTCTACCTTCTCTAAGGTATTTCTTTTACCTTCTCGGAGGAATTTTTTCTACCTTCTCTGAGGAATTTCTTCTACTTTCACGGAGGAATTTCTTCTACTTTCTTTGAGAGATTTCTTCTACCTTCTCGGAGGAATTTACCCACCTTCTCGGAGGAATTTCATCTACCCTCTCGGAGGAATTTCTTCTACCTTCTCCTAGGAATTTCTTCTACCTTCTCGGAAGAATTTATTCTACCCTCTCGGAGGAATTTCTTAAACCTTCTCGGAGGAATTTATTCTACCCTGTCGGAGGAATTTCTTAAACCTTCTCGGAGGAATTTCTTCTACCTTCTCGGAGGAATTCCTTCTACCTTGTCGGAGTAATTTCTACTACCTTCTCGGAGTAGTTTCTTCTACCTTCTCGGAGGAATTACTTCTACCTTCTTGGGGGAATTTCTTCCACATTCTCTGAGGAAATTCTTCTACCTTCTCGGAGGAATTTCTTCTACCTCCATGGAGGAATTTTTTCCACCTTCTCTGAGGAAGTTCGTCTAACCTCTCGGAGGAATGCCTTCTACCTTCTCGGAGGAATTTCTTCTACCTTCTTGGAGGAAGTTCTTCCACCTTCTCTGAGGTATTTCTTATACCTTTTCTGAGGAATTTCTTCCGCCTTCTCTGAGGAATTTCATCTACCTTCTTGGAGGAATGTCTTCTACCTTCTCGGAGGAATTTCTTCTACCTTCTCGGAGGAATTTATTCTACCCTCTCGGAGGAATTTCTTAAACCTTCTCGGAGGAATTTCTTCTACCTTTTCTGAGGAATTTCTTCTACCTTCTCGGAGGAATTCCTTCTACCTTCTCGGAGTAATTTCTACTACCTTTTCGGAGTAATTTCTTCTACCTTCTCGGAGGAATTACTTCTACCTTCTTGGAGGAATTTCTTCCACATTCTCTGAGGAATTTCTTCTACCTTTTCGGAGGAATTTCTTCTACCTTCTCGGAGGAATTTCTTCTACCTTCTCCTAGGAATTTCTTCTACCTTCTCGGAAGAATTTATTCTACCCTCTCGGAGGAATTTCTTAAACTTTCTCGGAGGAATTTATTCTACCCTGTCGGAGGAATTTCTTAAACCTTCTCGGAGGAATTTCTTCTACCTTCTCGGAGGAATTCCTTCTACCTTGTCGGAGTAATTTCTACTACCTTCTCGGAGTAGTTTCTTCTACCTTCTCGGAGGAATTACTTCTACCTTCTTGGGGGAATTTCTTCCACATTCTCTGAGGAAATTCTTCTACCTTCTCGGAGGAATTTCTTCTACCTCCATGGAGGAATTTTTTCCACCTTCTCTGAGGAAGTTCGTCTAACCTCTCGGAGGAATGCCTTCTACCTTCTCGGAGGAATTTCTTCTACCTTCTTGGAGGAAGTTCTTCCACCTTCTCTGAGGTATTTCTTATACCTTTTCTGAGGAATTTCTTCCGCCTTCTCTGAGGAATTTCTTCTACCTTCTCGGAGGAATTTCTTCTACCTTCTTGGAGGAATTTCTTTTACCTTCTCCGAGGAATGTCTTCTACCTTCTCTAAGGTATTTCTTTTACCTTCTCGGAGGAATTTTTTCTACCTTCTCTGAGGAATTTCTTCTACCTTCTCTGAGGAATTTCTTCTACTTTCACGGAGGAATTTCTTCTACCTTCTTTGAGAGATTTCTTCTACCTTCTCGGAGGAGTTTCTTCCACCTTCTCGGAGGAATTTCTTCTACCTTCTCGGAGAAATTTCTTCTACTTTCACGGAGGAATTTCTTCTACCTTCTTTGAGAGATTTCTTCTACCTTCTCGGAGGAGTTTCTTCCACCTTCTCGGAGGAATTTCTTCTACCTTCTCGGAGAAATTTCTTCCACCTTCTCGGAGGAATTTATTCTACCCTCTCGGAGGAATTTCATCTACTCTCTCGGGGGGAATTTTATCTAACCTCTCAGGGGAATTTCAGCTACCCTCTCAGAGAGCACCAGTAGCATCCTCGCAACCGAGTTGCACCATTGTCGTGACTGGACCGAGGTTTCCAGTCTCGGTCACTGTTCCACGAATCTGCTGCTCTCTTTGTTGGTCCACTAGTGCCGCTATCCCTTCTGCTGGTGGTCCTTTGCTGGTCGTTTGCTCTGCTAGAAAGCTGTGAGTTCAACAGTGGGCTGTCAACAATTATCGGTAAAAAATCAACTGACCGCTACTCGAGCCACTGCTGTCTCATGGAATGCCTTGTTCCGTATTTTAAATACAGTACTTGTTCGCTAACTGGGCTTAAAGTGCAGCATAGTTAGCGAATTCCACTCGCTATATGGGCTGTCTTGATAAACGTCAAAAAACACTGAGAGGAAATTCAACGTATTGTTTGATCGACATTAACAAAATTCACGTGCATTGGATTGAAGGAGTGTTTGTTATCGTTATTTTCTTAGCATCCAAACTCGCGTAACGTCTATTTTTGACGAATAACTGCTTTTTACTGGGCTACAGCCCAGTTAACGAACGCCCAGTTAAAAAGCAACCCAGTTAAGTAATACGCCCTGAATAAAGATTGATCAAGCCGTAATATCAATCAATGGCACCAAACAAATTATACCACCAATCAAGCTGCTACCTCCATGCACAAATTAGATAATGCAAAATCAGCTTCACCATGAGCCCACTGAACACCTTATAGATAACACCCCACCACCCTCCAAATACTCACTGTATGAAGTCGAACTCGATGGTCGAATGTTCCGCCTGGATGAGCGCCCACACCGCCCACATAAGGTGCGACGCCAGCGCAAACTGATTCACCTGAACGTACAACCGCTGCACGTCGCTATCGGTGCACTCCTCGCCACTGAATTCTTCCAGATATACTCGCAGCCACTGCAGTTGGAAATCCCTCGACGGATAGCGGTCGTAGTCAATTTCGTCAATGCCTAAAAACAATTGCAAATATCAAATGAAACACATTTATAGGCGGCCTCTAAAACCTGCCATCTTGGAAAAAAGGCTCGATGATGCAGATTTCAAAATTGTGCATGGCAAGGTATGAGAGAGTGGTTTTAAAATGCTTAGAGTTTTCAAATGAAGTACTTAATTTGAGTTTTACTGCGGGGGAATTAATATCTATATCCACTTTCATCAAATATTTAAAAAAAGAATTCTAATGTTTAATATAGTACGTCTATTAAGTAGCACTTGAGTTTTCCTCCCGCGTAGAATCATTGAAAAAATATTAAAAAACAATATTCGAGAAATTGAAGCAATTTAAAATTTAAATCCATCATCAAGCCTATTTTCCAAGATGGCGAGTTTCTGATCCGCGACTCATCCGAAACCAACCGGCAAATTCCGTGAAGTGATTGCCAATGTCGAACGCCTGATGATTGTAGGCGGCATACTCGTAATCGATGAACGTGACCCGCTCACGTTCGGCACAGTAGATCACGTTTCCCAGCAGCAGATCGTTGTGGCAGAATACGGTCGGGCTGTTCAGTCGGCATAACCGTTCGTACAGATCCTCAAAGTCACGTCGCAGCACGTCCGTACTGGGAAATATCTGCGATATCCTGTGTTTGTAAACATAAACAGAAATGTAACTCAATGTCAATCAGGCAGGCTTGCCACGACCTACGACGACATAGTATTCTAGTAGGAAGCAGGCCATGCAGCAAAATGAGCTAAGCTCAAGGCCACAGCAATTCGCATCTAACGACTTGGATTTGCTTTTACGTATATTGCAAACACATAATGCGCAAAAACATCAATCCAAGCAGGCGCTGCTCACCTTGAATGTTTCACCGGATCGCTAAAAACCGGCGGCACCAGCTTGAGGAACTGATCGATTTTCCCCGGCAGCATCGGTTCCCGGCTGGCACTCGTCGAGTCGTCGCACACTTTGTGCATCTGGGCCATCCGTTTGGCGACCAACCGCCAAACGGACTCCTCCCGGCAGCTTTCCGGCGTGAGCGTGACTCCCGGCACGTACTCGTACGCCAGACCATTGCGGAACGTTGCATAGAGGGTCGGAGCATAGCCGTACCGATGCAACAGTCGAATGTTGTCAGTTTCCTTCTTCCGGTCGATTAGCAGGTCGGTTTTGTTCCCATAGACCCGTATCAGAACGACGTCACTTGACGTGGTGTCGGCGTCGTCATCAGCGTTATCGTCGTCGTCGTCGTCGTCATTGGTGTTATTGTTTTGATTGAAACATCCGACCAGCTTGTTGGTGATTCCATCGGTGAAAAGCTGTAATTTTGGAAAGGGGTGGTTTACATTCTATGGGAATAATGGAGGGGGTTTAGATTGATGCGTATTATAGTGAATGGGTTTTTTACGCATTTTAAGTCGAACAATGAACTAGGTCCTAAATAAGATTGACTGATTCTCTTCGTCAATTTACTGTTTACATCAATACGGCCATGTATAGACGTTTCCTACTTTTACGTGACGTCACTTCTTGCACTCGCGCGACTGATAACAGCACATCGAATGGAAAAGGAATGCACACCTTATCAATCGGAAGTTTCACATCGAGTAATTGTTAGATGGCGTGTTATCATAATAATTAGTAGACAACTTTATCAAATTTTATTTAAAATAAAAAAAACTGCCTGATTGACAGTTAAGCAACCGGAATGGACCACATCAAAGTAGGCAAACAAGCAATCACAACACAACTGTTGGCTACCAATAAAATTAGCATTTCTTGAGGATTTTCTTCACTCTTTGTTATAGGTGCTGAGCTCAAACGACTCGACTACGATCTGGTCATCGTTCGTCGATTTTCATGAAGTAAATATAAACAAAGAGGCGGTCACCTCACCAGGTAAAGGACTGCCTGACTTCGATGCGGGCTTTGGAAGCGCATTAACCCGATTGCAACCGGTTTGCTTCGTTGTTTGTTTCTCCTTTTTCTTCTAAGCAGAGGGTGCGAAACTTAGCCGGACGCTAGAATGGATGGCATTGAGCGGGTTGAATGGGAACTTATGCATCACGTGTTACTTCACAACAATAATGTGATGTTTATGGTGCCAAAAAAATTGGCATTTCAAACGCTGGTTTCAATGGTAGTGTAGGATATGTTATGTCCACAATCATTCAAAGCTTTACCATCAAACGCATATTCATTCTAAATTAATGTATGTTGTAACACCTCTAAAATCGCGATTAAGGTCTGAGGTCAAGCTTCCAACGGCTTAATTCAAACTTGCCACATTTAGCATGTGATAATGGAAAGTTTTGTAATTGCTTTTCATGATCTATTGTTATGAAAGGGATTAGCTTATGTTGACATTGGATTTTCTGCTCGTCGATGATTAGTTGACATATGATTAAAACCACAATCAAAAGCTACTTATTAGACCCAAGCTAGCGACATGCAACCTAAATACTTCACACCCTATGCGGTCCGTTCGCTGTTGAACTTCTTTTTGAATTGTTGAAAATTAATGGTGGTATAGTGGCTCAAATTAGATTTCGTTCTAATTTGAGCCAAGAAAACATCAGTCCGATCATAGTCAATGTAGTTCTGGTTACTTATTATCATATTTTAGAATGTTCGGTGTGTATAATATCATCAGGTATGATATTTAATATTGGTATGGATTATATAAAATCATTGGGTCACTTCAACGGCAGCACCCGGAACATGTATGGTTGTTGTCAATGTGATGCTGAACACAAAATATGATCACTACTCATCGTGTTATCAGATTTTTGTCACCCAGAACCAGGGCCCAACAAAGTCACTTTCAATCGAAAATCGTCAAGCGACGACGAAGCTATCAACCATCACTTTCAATTGAAAGTCATTCTGTCTTATCTTCGAGCAGATCCCCTTCAACATCAACAGAATCTCTTTGGATCAGTTTTCATGCTGTTTGTTTTGGCTTGACTCGTGTTCATTTCGTCTTTCATTGTCAAATGAACATGCTTTCGCATTGATGCGAAGCTGTTCGATAAAAATTCGCTCAGTTTTTCTGACTTGATTGTTTACTCGGTCCAAGATCTGCGCACGTGGACGTCAAATTTATCATTGTCGGGTGGATTGTTTGCCCGTCAATATGGGTACTTTTGGAATCAGGGTGACGTCTACAGGCCAGAAATCGATAACCGACGCCATTTTGCAATCCAAGATGGTGGCTTCCGATATCAGAAAAAGTGGGAAATTCTATCAAACACCCATAAATATGTTTTATTAAGAATCAGGGTACCGTCTAGAAGCCGGAAATCGATGACCGACGCCATTTCGGAATCCAAGACAGTGGCTTTCGATTTAAGAAAAAGTGTCAAATACCCTAAAATATGTTTTTTTTTAATCCAAGATGGTGGCTTTCGGTTCTAGAAAATGTGGGAAATATTTTCAAATACCCATCAATATGGGTATTTTTGGAATCTGTAATCGGTATGACGCCTAGAGAAATCCAAGATATCCGACCTCAGTTTTAAATCCATGATGGCGGCTTCCGGATTAAAAAATAGTTGGAAATTCTAACAAATACTCATGCATATGTTAACGTCTAGAAGCCGTAAGTCGATATCCGACGCCATTTTGAAATTCAAGACGGCAGCTTCCGATTTCAGGTAAAGTTTCAAATATCCTAAAATTTGAGTATTTTCAGAACGGAATGACACGTAAATTGCGAAAATCTTGAAATCCAATATGGCGACTTTTGGTTTCAGAAAAGTGGAAAATACTATCAAATACCCATCAATGTAGGTATTTTCTAAATCCCAGTAACGTTTAGAGGATGTTTGACTGCCATTTTAAAATCTAAGATGGTGGCTTTGGATCAGAAAAAGAATGAAATACTGTCAAATGCCGATCAATGTGGGTATTGTTGGAATCGAGGTGACATCTAGAGGCCAGAAATCGATGACCGATGCCATCTTGAAATTAAAGATGGTGACTTCCGATTTCAGAAGAAGTGTCAAATGGCGTTGGATATTGATTTTATAAATTTACGTGTCGTTCCCGTTCCGAAAATACCCATATCTTACGGTATTTGTCACTTCAGAAAACCAATGGTCACTATCTTGGATTCCAGAATGGCGTCGAGTATCGATTTTACCCATATCTTAGGGTATTTAACACTTAATCTGAAAGCCGATGGCCGCCATTTTGGACTCCAGAATGGCTTCGTTAATTTAATTTTCGTTTAATTTAAAATAATATTTTATTACTGCATATAATCCGGATGCCATCCCTATTGGCAACCGATATTGTGCGGATACTATCCGGATGCTATATTTCGATGCCTGACGACGCAACGCGTGACAAGTCGAATGAACCCCGAATTGAAGTGAAAGTGAAAAAAAACGAAGGAAGCAATTTTCGAGTCATTCCTTGCGTCAAGTGAAACAAGTATTTGCTTCAAATGAAGTGAACTTATACACTTGACGAACGAAACAAGCGATAGTCAAGTCATGTTTAACAGGAGGAATTGTTAGCCAGCGCCGGTAGTGTAGTGGTAAGCGTGACTGCTTTCTAACACCCCAATGGGTCTGGGTTCAATCCCAGCCGAGGTCGGTGGGATTTTTCTGAGGCATAAAAATCTCTGGCCACGTCTTCCTTCGGAAGGGAAGTAAAGCCGTTGGTCCCGGCCCATGTGTGTTGAATGGGTGCGATATCCTACGCAGGTGTGAAAGCTGCCTTCCTGCACATTCGATTGCCGTCAATGGATGGCAATCGATGTTCGTCGGTGATTGGCACTAGATTGCGGAACAGAGACCGACGTTAAATAAAGGAATGAATGAAGGAGGAATTGTTCATCGTGACTCGATAACAAGAAACTCCATGACTTACATGAAAATGAAATGAAGCAATTCTGCGGAGAGTTCATTTTCTTTTCTTTGTTTCGAAAATGCAGAACCCTGCCCAGAACATGTGCGTGTGTGACCATTTTGCTCTGGAGACTAAGGCTGTGTTCCATTTGGTGAACTTTTACTTAAATTTGACAGATGGAAAATTTTCAAATAAACTTGCTATCCCAGCAGCCTTATTTCTGACAGACAACGAATCAACTTTGACAGACGCTTTCTCGAAAATCGGCCGATCAACAACAGGGTGATTTTCGAACATCTTAATTTGTTTTCGAAGTGTCAAATTTAAGTGAAAATTTCCAAATGGAACACAGCCTAAATGTGATCTAAAATGATCTTCTTTCGCAGTCTCATGTGATGTGATAGGTCGTGTGATTAGTTTTGACTCAAACAAGATTCAGACCACGTCCTCAAAGGCACTCGGACCATGTCTGGTGAGGTCATTGGGATCTTAGCTTTCCCAATATGTAGGTGAATGTAAATATTATAATGGTTGACTATTTTACCATTATATAGACATTAAGGTTTTGAGACTCTCTGAGAGAAGCAACACGTGGTTATTTGACGGTTTAACGTGGCAATTTTGAATTAAACCATTGAAAACTTGATCTCAGACCTTAATAAATGCTGAGGGGGGGGGGGGGCTTACAAGCTTTTTGTAAACAAACCTTTTTGGGCCCTTTTTGCCAACCGAAGGTCACCCACGTAAACCAGCGGCATCATCGGTAAGGGGAAAGTTTCCCCTACCCATTGATGTTGATGGTTTGCATGGGCGACCATCGGTTGGCGAGAAAAGGGCCCAAAAAGGTTTGTTTACAAAAAGCTTGTATGCCCTTTTCACATGTTGCCCTTGAACTGACAAAACTCCAAGGCTGCAAAATGCGTGTCCATGCATGCTGACATGGCTGGTTCTCGGCAATGCAATGATCAATCATTATGATTCAGCCACCATTTGAAAGGTATGACTATCTATTTTCATATTTATTAAGTAGAAACCCGATTGGACCTGTGGTTGGCTAGCCGGAACGGAAAAATCCGGAAAACCCCAAGCAAAATGCGTGTCGTGTCGGTTCATGTTGACATGACTGGTTGTCGGCAATTTGGTTACCAAATTTTAAGATAGAGCTTCTTTTTGGAAGCAATGACTATCTATTTTGGAACGGAAAAGACAGGGTTGTCCAGTTGGAACGGAAAAACACGTGAGAGATGGCTCTCACGTGTTTTCTCGTTCTCAGATAAGTAAGATCTTATAAGATTAATATACCATAACATATATTGTAGACCTCATCTTGTGTTTATATCAAAGTGTTTATAATATAATTATCTTCAGTATGGATTACTTGCGATAAATTTTTATTTATTGAGCAAGTGTTATTTAAATCATATGACCATAACTTCAAAATTGTGATTTTTTCAGAACTTCT